ATGAAAAATGCATGCTGTCATGGCAACTAAGTCAAATATTCTTAATCATTTCACCTCTTCAATCTGAAATGTAATTGTTTGTCAGTAAAATAGGTTATACAGAAGGCTTCTATGGACTTATGATTGCCTTAAGTGTTTTGCAAAAATTGTGCTTTTAGGCTCAAAACCTTAAGCTAAACTAATAGTCTACAATGGTAAACAATGACTCATTAGAGAAAGCAATCAGTTCTTATTAATTGTAGAATAACTGTTCTAATGTAATAGAATAATGAAGTATAGAACATATTACTTGAAATCAAATGTACCAGAGAACATTGACAATACTGCTAGAATCTTGAAGTAAATTGTGTTTGATTCAGATTCTGTATTCATTTCATTTGAGCTCGCTTGCTACTTGCATCTCATGAGAATCCACCTAAAACTTAAAATACTTTTCTTTTGTAATATATGTTGACTGCTCCCTAACCTCCACTCTACAAACACTTTTTTCTGTAAATTCAAGGCTGGAGATTTTAAACATTGAAGACAATCTAATGGAAAATAATAATAAATACATCAAAATTTTGAGCATTATATTTACATTCACATCTCTTGCTTTCCCCTCTGGTTATTGTACTGCTCATCTTTTCAAACTGACTGTAAATCAGATTTTCAAAGGAACCTCTGTCTAACTGGATAATTGAGCTAGCCATGTTGGTTCTGCAACACACTACGAACATTATTTTCTGAAATACCAGTTGCAGAAACCAGTGATCAAATTCATAAGGTTTTTTTTCCACATTATGTCCTCATCTCACAGAAAGCCTTTTGCTCATCTATCACTTAGGCTGCAGTTAATTGTTACATCACTAAACTAGGGTGATTAATTGCATGATCGAACTTGCTGAGGAGTCTGTTTTTTTTATAATTGGACCTGTTTGCCTGTTCTTGAGTATATCTTACACATTTGTTCTTGCCACTTTGCAATGAACTGCACCCTACTGGTGCTTACTTATCACCTGGTTTTGTGGATGAACTTTGCTTTGTGTATTTTCAAGTCTTTTACTACTGTTCATGCACGAGCAGATGGTTCTAGTTAAGTTGAGGCACAGCGTCAAAGTTGCTGCTTCAAGCACAATTGCTTGTCCTGTTGATATTTTGTATACATTGAGATTTTTTGCCATCTGGGGAAGATGGAAGAACACTTCCTCAACACTCTGAATCAATTAGGGATTTGTTTTGTTTTCTTTTGTGCTGGGAATAATAGTGTGCACCCAGGCGCACAGCCCTGAATTATTTCTTCTTCAATAAGTTCTTCATTTAAATACCTCACAAATATTAATGAACTCTTCAGAACACTTGTGCAAGAGAAGGAATCATTGCTAGTATGTAACCAAGACACTGAGAAATAAGGAGTCCTATTTACAAGAGGCTATAAGATACCCTGCAATCAAACCCAGTTTCATTAATATCTTACCTAAAAGACCATTCTTGTTTGAAGACCAAACCATGAACTGTTCAGCCAAACAATATTCTCATTGGAATGACTGGGACCTTCTCTCCTAGATGAATCCTCTTGTAACTCCATGGTTACTCTGTTATGCATGGAATTAAGGGAATTTTAGGGAAACTGTGATAAAATGACATGCCTACTGGGAATGTGCTGAGCCACTGGCAATTGTTCCCTATCAGGGAGTAAGACTTCTCCCACAAGTTACTCAAAGCTGGGTAGAAAATTTGTCCTTTTGTGAACATACTGCTACTTTTAATTTAGCTTCTCCTCTCTCCAGAAGAAATTAAAAGCTATATATATCAAATTTCTTCAAGAAGGAATCATGGTGTCAAGACCCATTGCCATAGGGAAAAGAAACCAAATTTTAAAACAATTGAAAACTAGCCACTAAACAAAAGAGAAACTTGCCCACTATACAAAAAACTGTAGCCATTTGAAATTGTCCACCAAATATTAAGCTTTAAAGAACAAAAGCCACAGGCTACTCACTCAGTCAGTGAAACAAAGAAAAAAAAAAGGGTCAGATCCCAAAGAGCTAAAATGTCACTCAGCAGTCACCCTTTATCAAATTTCTGCCCCTATTGAACTCACTGTCTTATGAGTCATAGGGACAAAGTAAGAGGGCAAGATGCATAATCATCTTCCTGTGAAATATCTTTTTTTTCTCTTGACTGTCCTAAGACTTCCATCCCAGACTTGGATAAGATTCTGACTTTTGTCAATTGTCCCAAAATAATTTCTGCATCAACTTTCTCAGTGGAAACTCTTCAAATTTATTGCCACTGGTAAGGTCCATTAAGTTACAGATGTTGCTTTTTTATTCTTAGGGACCCTAGAGCCTTCCTGTTCTTTCTGTCATGTGGTGTTTTCAAATGCTTCTACATATACATCTTTCCATTGACTAAAATAGATTTTTCATTAAGCCACAAACTCCTGATTTTGTTTTAAATTTTCTTTAACTAGATGTTCACTCAGTGTGCTGCTGCCTGACTTTTAACACCAACAGCTCTGCCTGGTGCCCTGTGGTGCCTTTCAGCTTCCTAGTTCAGCACCAGTGTGAATCTGCCACATCTTATATTAGTGGCCCAGCGTGTAGCTTCCCCACCCACACCACAGCCTGGCTGTGGTCTCCTCTGCACACCACCTGAGGGGTCTGCAATACCAAGAACTGCTTGCCTGTGACTTGAGATCGGTTTTGGCCTCAAGGACTGGAAATCCTAGCATAAGAAATGCAAATGTGATAAGTTATGAGTTAGCAGTAGGCTGAAAAAAAAAAAATAGCTGATGAGAGGGGCATTTCTTAAGCCTTGTTCAGCTTAATATGAGCAACTGATGGAGTGGGAAATCTAACTTCCATGCTAGTTACAGGTGAACATGCAATTACTGATAGTAGAAATTTAATCAGAAGGAATAAAATAAGTTAATCAGTTAATTAGTACTTCATGTCTGCTTTCTTTTGCTTCCCTTACTGTTATGTATCATTTACCCTAAACAACTTGTCATAACTGTTTACACAAAAGAAGATGTGGTCTCTGTGCAGAAGAACTTAACAGTCACATTTTAAGCTTGACATGGCTGGATGCAGGACAAGACAGAAGGGTTAATACCAGTCCTGCTTCTGTGCCATAGGCCCTATATTACTAACAGATAATGGATTTTTATTTGCTGACAAGGGAGAGGTTTGTACTATGACAACAGAAAGGTCAGCCTTTCCTATCGAGTGCAACAAAACAGTGTTTGTGGAATTTCATGTGGTTAAGAATTTCCTCATGGTTTTTGAGATTAGAAAATATCTGTGAAGTTTACTGTGCACAATACAAACAAGAATGTAATATTGATAGTATAGACAAGCTACAGAGTTTCTCATAAGGTGATTCAGTAGGTGACTTTGCTGGCTATCTGTTGGGATTACTCTTATAAGTATTAGGAATACATTCTGTGCTCTAAATAGCATCTTCTGTTGAACAATAAAACTTTTCACTTGTTTTCCTGAAGACAAGAGGCAAGGAGTTAGGTTTTTCTTCCATAGTGAAAATTGCTGCTATAAAGCTGATGCACCCTGGCTCCTCATTTTCCGTCCCACCTTTTAGTGAACATATGTGCCATTTGCAAAGAAAAAACAAATCAAAAAATAAAAACAAATTGGAAGATACTTTCATAATATGAAAACATTTTATCAGAATATGCTTTGTAATATCATGAGTTATTTTTGATCAACAAGGCAATGTAACTGCTCAACCTAAGTAAATATGTGCTGAATGAGGGCATAGAGCACGAAGCAAAAGTAGAAAAGAAGAAACCAAATATGTTTCTGTATTTTTGGTATTTATGAAACCAGACAGATTCAGTAAGGCAATCTTCTGCAATGTATTGATAGATGAATTTTTGCTGCCCCTACTTTCCTCCTGCAATTTTGGTCAATATTATTTCTGCTGTTGCTTTCATTCTTACTGACTTTTTGCTGTTTTATTTGTATTTATGCTCAGAAACTATAAAACATAGAAGTGGTTAGATGTTTTGCCACAGAATGTCTTTGTGGTTACTAAGGAGTTGCACTGGCTGCTGACAACAATTGTTTGTTTAGAATAAACATAATGCTACAAAAAGGTCATATTGGAACTGGAAAATGTCCAGATTATAGACATTTTGTTTACGAAGAGATTTAAACAAAAAATAAATAACTCTTTGTCATGATAGAAAATAGCAATATATACTTCCTCAAATTCTTAAGGTAGAAATAGTATTAATGTGTAGAAGTATGGGAAAGAATTTACATGTCACTTTTATCTCAGTAGGTCTTATATTTCATAGTGAGACCTGAGATGTGACTTTCTATTCCTTCTTTCAAAACTTTCCATAGTAGCCTTAAGGCTGGGTCTTATAATTCTTTTAATAAAAGTGTGCTCTGTAATGTGAATCCAGAAAAAAACTTAGTGAAAAGTGCCTGGAGATATCCATCAATTCTTACTTCAGACAAAATACTATTATCTTATTTAAAGATCTTCAAAATCAGCCCAGTGGGTTGGGACAACAATATTTCACTGAAGTGATGACAAATTTGCTTCATCGGGAAAAGTTTTGGAAAAGAAGATCCAGTCCATCATATGGATTTTGCAGTAAAAGGTATCAGTAAATTCTGCTGAGTGACTACATCTGTAGTATGCTCACAAGTAGAAGTTGACATAAATGTTTTAATTGCAAAATAAAGTGTGGGTCATATAGCTCAGAGCAAATTCCTTCAAATCAAGAAAATCCAAGTCAAGTTGTACTAATCCCACCTAAAAATACTTGTAAGGCAGTTGAAAATATCAAGTGGAAAGGCTCAAAATATGAATATGTTTGGGTTTTTTTGTTAAGCATCAAGACTAGAATTCATATGGGGTTTTTTTGTGGAGCAGAACTTTTCTTGAAGAAGGCTACTCAGAGATTTCAGACTATTGTAATATTGTCCTTCTAAGTGCTTGAATTGGTTGAATATGCTGACTCTCTTTTCTGTTTGGAATTTTAGAAGCCAGCTGAAGCAACTTGATGACCCTTCAAGAACTGGATTTATTAGGTAGGCCCTATGAGGTGGGTCCAAAGATAAGTTGCAGTTTCTTGAGATATCTAAAGAGCTACTTCTCATAAATATAATATTATATTTGAAAAATTAGGAGCCAAGATCATAATAGAAAACACAGCCCTGAACTAAGTCCTAAATCTGACATTTTCCATTATTTTCCCTGTGGCTTGCTGTGTCAACTACACCATACCTTGAGCTTCCTTAAGCTGGGAGAGAAGAGAGGTTGAGGATATATAAGGGAGTATTTCTCCAGCTTGCTCACACCACTGCCAACATTAGTTTTTAAAGAGGGATCAAAATAGTTCAGTGTGGAAGAGAGTCATTGATTGACCTCAATACCCCATATGGCTTTGCATTCTTGTCAACCCTTCTTTCTCAGCTATGGTGTATCTGTGTATATGGTGTATAGTACCCTTTTAATTCTTTTAAAAAGTGTAAGAAGTGTATGACCCATGGAAAATTTGACTTCTTGTCTCTCCAGGGGTGTATTTTCCTACATGTGCCTACTAGACGAAGTACACAGTCGTTTCTGTAGCAGTGGGCATAAGTCACCTTCACCAAGCAGCAGATGGTCCTGGGAGCCAAGGGCGTGCATCACACTTACATATCTTGGCCCACTGTCTCGTACCAAGGATACTTCATTTGGGCAGACACACATCCCTTCACTTTCAGAATTACCTCTGTGTCCTCGGTTTCACTTTACCTACTTCTCAAAACTAAGAAATTTGGAAAACAAAACTAAAAGAAAGGCATATTTTTTTTCTAAACAGAGCAAGTTTGTGAGTCTTTCAGTAAATTCAGTGTTTCATGACAAGTTTGTCTTTTGCTTTGCATCTTTCAAGGTCTGTGAGATTACCTGTAACTAACCAGAATTTAGCAATGGACTTAGCACATCAGAACCAATATATGGGCAGGTAGCATACCCTCTTCAAGATTTAAGCGTCTCAAAGGTAATAATAAGGCACTGGCAGTGGATAGTTTCAAATTACTTTCCCTTTCTAATTGGCAATTAGATCTAATTAACTTTTAGTTATTATTCAATAATTTCCTTTAACAAATGGAACCCTGATGAGATCACATCTGTTAAGACCACTTGGTTTGTGTCTCCGCTTTCTGTGTATTTCTGTACTTTTAAAGTAATCCAGCTACAGTCTAGGAGAAGATCATGTATCAGCTGGAATGAAAGTATGCATTTATCTAAAGTTACCATGAGTCCAGGAAACAGTAATTTGAAAAACAACATTGGTATGTAATCCTCAGGGCTTGGAGAGGAAAACTTGTTGAGATCAAACTGGAAGTTTGAATGTATTCAGGGTTTCTTTTATATTAGCTGGATTCTTCTTGTGAAATAATTTAAAATATTACTTTTAGTCTTAGACCAAATGAATAGAAATTTAAAGGGTCATGTCCTCAATTACTAGCTTCACATGAAGAAAAAAACCCACTAGATATGTACTCATTCAAAATAAGCTGAGGATTCTGTCTCAGTGTATAGTAAATATATTTTGCTTATTTTGGATCTTAGAAATTAATGTTAAGATTTATTTGAGTCTCCAACATAAGCAACAGGAGATAGCAGATTATAATATATTAATAAGACATGAAAAAGCAAATAAGTATACATACTCAAGTCTTTCAAGATCTCAGCTGCAAAATTTTATCCTTACATGGACAGTCCAGCTAACAAAAATAGAGCTTCTTGTATACACACAGAACATTTGCCGCAGTAAAAGTGTGCAGGATCGTCATTAGGCACATTTTGTTCCCTCAGCTTTCCAGGCACTTATTTTATACAATATCTATTTTTGTTTATTGCTTTTTTATTTTCTCACATTGCACTAATATATGTCATGACTGGATTTTTTTTTGCTACTTACCCCATGTTTTTCCTTCTGTTTCTGTCCCACTTGGAGTGTGTTCTGTGCAATTTCTCAGTAAAGCACCCTGCAAGTATATCCTTGGAGACTGTCTCTATTTTAATCCTACTGATTAGGAATACTTTTCTAACTCAATTTTTCATCAGTTAAGTATTTAATAATTATACAGGTATTGCTGATCTTGCATGGATTCAGGTATATATTGACTTCCAGAATAATAAATTTCTAATTGAAGAAAATTCATATCATACAGACCACAAAAACAAAGTTTGGTTATGGCTGGTTGTTTGGAGTTTTTTTATTTGAACATCAGATTATATTTCCTTCAGAGAAAACAAGAATTTTAAACTTTGCTTGAAGAAACAAAGCAAAACAAAAATGTCAGCGCACAACAATTTATTGTTAAAACGTGGTGAAAAACTTCAAGCATGTAACAAACATGTAACAAATTTACAGTTGTACAAACCTACATGGAGAAGCTGGATGGAAATAGCAGAAATCATTATTCTTTGTATAAACATCCTAAACACCATAAAAGACTTTTTTTACCTTAAATATAGGGTTGCTTATATCAGACCTCTGCCACTCCATTTTTTGCAATTCAAGATTTTTTTGTTCCTGCCTTTTGAATTGAACTTTTTTTGTTTGAATGCAAAAAACTGGACTTTTGTCACAATCAGAAAAAAGCATTACTAGCTTCCATAACATTACCTATTTTGGATCCCAGATGTGACCTTTCCCTTGGCTATGATAGGCCTGGTTCAATGCTCATGTGCCATGGTTCATGCTGTTGCGAGCACATTAATATTGTGGAATTATTTCCAATTTTTGTCTATGACAGTGAAATGGGAATGATGGCTGCTCAGTCTGCTGCCAAACTCTTCTGTAATTTAGTCTCGTTAATTTTCAGAAGTCAAGTAAGACTTGGTTAGGTGGAATCACCTAACAACCCCATAAATAGTTTAGAAAAGAGTAGACTAGCTATATGATATTATGTGGGACACATTTTTATCAAAAGAAAATGAAACCCCCAAAACTAAACCAAAATTTGAATTCCTGTTTTGATATTTAAGAGCACTCTACAGATTCAGTATTTCATTATTTGAAGCAAGGTTCTAGCATCTTAGGGAAATGTAGAATATGATATGAAAATAGGGTTGTTAATTAGCCCTAATGCTTTGCCTAGAACAGGCTTTTGTTAATTATATATGCCTAGGTTAAATATTAATCGTTGGCATTTATAAAGAGCTTTGCATTTTTTAAGTACTCAGCAAACATAAACTAATTACATGTCACAATATCCTGTCTAATTAGATGACTCTGTAATTTTTCCACATGATACATTATATTTCACTTCCTGTCATTGAACTATTTTGTAGTATTGCTTTACATTGCTAAATGGTTTCTTTCCACTCCAGGAATAGCTGAACTATTGGGAAAAAAAAATTAAAAACCATGAAAGCTGCCTGGAAATTTTCATTTTCTCATTAGAAAATTTTAAGCTTGTTGTTTACTTATAGGAAAAAGTCTGTCTTGCTGAAACTCCTGAATAGAAAAAGATTTTTAAAAGGTGATTTCTTTGTACAATAGGAAAATGTTACATATGGTGTTTTCAATAAGAAAGATTTTGGAAAATCTTCTCACTCCAAAAGTTTGATTTCTTTATACTAAATAAAAAGGAAACACACCTTACATGTCAAATTTTGCAGGAAACCTTTTAAAATATTTCATGCTTTGGCCTAATCTGCTTTCTGCGGCTGGGAAACATTTTCAACTTTTGGTACATGTAGCATGAACAGATCTTCTGAGCATCCTTGTGGATAAAGTACATGTTGCCTTGGCTTTTAAGATTGTTAAAACACAGAATATGTCTATTTGTCTGTTTTTTCATGTTTTCCATTCTCAACCTGAGATCAGCTAGAAAATGAAAAATGAAATTTATACCTTGTAAATTCATGTGATATCACTGAATCAAGACTATCTTATAGGTAGAATAATTTACATAATATCTATCTGAGCTCAACTTTTTTGGGAATAGTAAATTCCTGCTATATTTTCTCTCCCTTCGATTTGCTGCATGAATGCTGAGATATGTACTGGGAAAACTGATGTCACTGTAGACATGAATTGAATGGCAAATGCCTTGAAAATGCATCAATATACCTAGAGTGACTCAAACATGAATTTCAAAAAATTTGTTCTCTTTTCTGTAGGATGTGACCTGTATCTTAAGAGATACCTGTCTCTGATACACCTCGCCACCAAATTGCACCTCGACATTTACCATGAATTCTTGGAGGAGCTTCTCTGCTTCTCTTATTTGACTCACATGTCCGACCCAGGGTGTGTTAGTATGTTATTAATGCTACTAGATTTGCTTTTACTATTTCTTATTTAAACAGGAAAAACTTGATTCAGGACCTTTCCTTTTCCTACAGATCATCATCGTTGATATTGGGCCCTAAAAAGCCCTTTCTGCACTATGAGCTGAATGAACAGCTGTTTTCTCCTAATGCTTGCCAAGGTTATGAAGTTGTCAGTTTTTGTTGTTGCTCATAGTTGTCAGTTTGCCTGAGCAGATCCCTGGCACCAGGAGGTGACATGGCATTTTTCACTGAGGCAATAACAAATAAGTATTTCTGCACAAGAATTCTATTTCTTGAAAGAATCAGTAATGGTTAAAAATTCCTCATCCATGATTTTTTAGAAAGAGCTATGGGAATTAAGTTCTCAAATCCCACTGAAAGTCAAACATATAAAACTCTTAGGCACTTTAATGTTAGGACTTACTGTTACTAGGCTTGACAGATAGCAACAGTTTTTCAAATTACAAACTGTAAAAGTGAAGCATTGCTGAAAATTAGTTCATTTATTTAGGAATTCAGAAAAAGATTGAACTGCAGTGGCAACTCTGACTCTAAAACACTCAGATATTTTAATCTTAATACTAAAAAGGCTCTTAAATCTTAAATTTACATTTCTGGTAATAATGGCAATGCAGTTAAGTCACCTTTGCCACTCTTTCTGAAAAAAAAGAACTACTTCAATCCTTGTGGATATTATGGTTAGTATCAGGTATGTAATGAAAATAAAATGGAAAGATTCATCTGTGCTCCTCACAGCAAATGAAGAAGCATGATCATCTTAAGTTTGTGCTTAAGGAAAAAGGTAAAGAAATGTGTTCCAACCCGAAATTTCATGTTCTAGGGAGGCCTTTTTCGAGTACTTACTCAAACCTACCTGTTGTCTCTCTGATTTAGATTTATTAGAGTCATTGAGGAAGCTGTATCTCTTTTGAGGAGAAGTAATATCTCTTGAGTTGTTCAGGCCCTGCATCTATTCTCAGCCAGGTCCGATTCATGATACGAGGCATTCACCCTGCCTCTAATTCATAAACGATAGATTCCTGAGTTTGAGGTGAAGCACAGCCTCTGAGCAAACACAGATATTAACATTCCCACAGCTTTAGAAATATGTTATTATAGCTTATGGAATTTAATAGAGTGCTATGCATTCAATTCCTATGTCACTGATGTTATTATATGTATGTTAGAAATCCCATCTGAGAAGTGTAGATTACTTCAGTGCCTTTTGTTCATCACTAACTCTTTAGAAACCATATGGAGTGGGATTTTTCAAAAGACTGTAACATGGACCTAACTCTGCTCGAGTTCAAACCAGAGAGTTTTATCATTAACTTCAGTGGAAGCTGAAGTAGGTCAGTGCCAGTTTCTGTAGAAGAACCAATCCTTTAAGCTTATTGAAAGAGCTATAACAGGGGAACTCATTCTAGATCCAAGTCAGTGAAATCCTGGGTATGAAAGAAACTCATGGCTGGCTCTTGTGTAAAGAACAGGAGCTCATCAACTGGACTTCACAGAAGTCCTTTGGTTTCAGCCATGCATTCATAGATGCTGACATAGGCTTCTTTATTCAGTTTCCAGAAACACATGTGCTGTCTTGTTGACAGCACTGCAGGATTCAGTTCTGAAAGATGGGGCAGGGTCTGAGAAAGCTGGTGGAATGAAAGTTGTCCCTGCCCCTGGCAGATGATCTTTAATGCCCCTTCCAACTCAAACCATTCTATGATTCTATGATTCTGAGATTCTGTGGTTCTATGTTTTAAGAATGAGCTCAGTGCCATTTGTTTTGAGTTCTGATGCCCATGTTTCAGGATACCCCACACTGTGTTTGTAAGTAATATTTAAAATGTCAAAAGCAACCAGAGGTGCTCAATTGGTACCTTAAAGCTAAGATTCCATTCAGACATAACACAAGTCAGGGCAAGCAAGTGGACTCTTTCAAACCTCCATGGACTACACAGCATTTATAATAACAAAGAATTAAATGTGAATCTACAGGACATAAACTGCTTTTGTATCTCAGAAAAACCTTTGGGAGATTGTAGGCTTTTTGGAAGTAATTCAAATTCACATATAGCTCTGGTATCAGAGTGCATTTTGAGTGCAAAGTAGGTCTACACCATTTTACTGGCCTTTTTTAGTTATTCTAAAGTACCTTTCCGGATGATAACAAATTACTTAAAACTGATTAAAGAGTTACATCCTATGCTGCTGAAGAAATGTAAAAAAAAAAAAAATCAATTTAGATAAGAATCAGGCAGTATCATTTCAGTCTGATAACATTTCACATCACTTGTAGAGCTGAACGACTACAGAAGTGAAGGGCAATAATGAACTGATGCTCTGTTTCAGCTGAGATTAAATTTTAAACAAATATCTGTATATAGATGGAGATTTATAGAGGAGTCTAAGAAAAACCTTGATATGGATTAATACAAATATATTTTACAAATCTTCAGCTTAACCCCAGACCATATATCTCAGGTAGAGTGTATTAGTATTTAAGTGTATCAGTATTACTTTATTTATTTCAGTCCTCTTCCACAACCTCTTGTGATATACTTTTAATGGAATTTTGTTTTTATCCTAATATGTCAATGACGTGTTTCCTTTATTTCCCTGTATTCTACTCCTCTTCTGTGTTTAGCTTTTGGGTTTTTTTTTTTTTAGGCTTTCCTGTGACAATGAACCAAGAAAGCCTGGAGACCTGGTGATGATATCCTTATATGATACTTAAAGATCTGAAACATAAACATCTAAAATTAAACAGTATACTGTCTTCTTTTCCCTTCAATAACCATATTTAACTTCAGTTCTCAGGTTAGGTAGAGCTCCAATAAACATTTCCTGCACAACAGAATATTTTGGGGCAAATCTTGTCTGTTGTCTGGCATCTTGCCCAGCTCACAGCAATAAAGGGTAGGACCATGCTCTTCCAGGTTTCCAAGTCCACAGTATTTCTTCTGAATAGATATGGCATGTACTTTGTGGGGCAAAATGCTAGACTTAGTCTGAGCTGGGTCTGGGCGAAGATGTGTGTGGGATGTGGCCTACCAGCCACCACAGTTAGCCCCTGTCTCAGTCTTGGACCATTCCTAGCCAAATGAAGTACCATAAGAAAATCTGAAAGTAAATATAACTCTATGCAGTCTTTCTGTGACAGAAATGATGGTGAAGGTTTGTATATGACCCTAAAACATAAATCAGTGTTATGCTACTAGATTTACCTTGACAACAGAAAGCGAGTAGTGTCATTATTCCAGCACTGAATATGTTTTATTTTCATAAATTATAAATATTACTTTTTTTCTCTCCACCTTCAGCCTTAAGAATGTGGTTTCACAATTCATTTAATGTTAAATGGTTCATTACATAGAGTAGCAACTTAGTTCTCTTATTATGGTGTTATCTTTCACTTTGTCAAAATATGTCTACTTGATAAGAAATCTGACAGAAGTTGCTTATGATGGGATCACTAACAGCCATCAGTTTCTCTCTAGCAAATGAAACTGTAACCATGGAAACGGCCTTTTTTTGCCAGAATGAAAATGAGACAGCACTCTGCTGCAGCCATTAGTAGAATACACAAATGTCCCTCAAGGCAAACATCTAAAGCAAATGGACTGCAAAGTAAGGAGCACTAATTTCTATTTATTTAGGATTTGTAAACCTAGCAGAGCAAGATATTAACAAAGGAACAAACAAAAGGAGGTTAAAAAAAAAATGTTTGTATTTTTCTTTCCATTTACAAAACTCCTTATTTTAAATAAAAATGCTTTATTCTGGTCTTATCGCTATAAGCTTAAATAGTACTACAACAGTGCATTTAAATAAGGCTGTGGCTTGACTGTGACTGTTCTTTGCAGAAAATTATTTTTAAAAAATACACTAGAAGAATGGTTGGGGTTTTTAAGCTTTTGGTAATCCATATTTAAATGAAAAGGTATTAAAAATACTGAGTGTGAGACCTTTCTTTCCATGCTGTTTAATTTTCAAGCAACCATGTTCATACTGATAAGATACACCAAGACTGATAATAAGTCTATTCTAAACACTATCAGCAGTCAGCCACAGCCTGTCAAAGACCTTTCAAGTGTCAGACTCTTCTTACTATCCTCTTTATTCAGTACTACACCCCTCTTGCTACAAACTGCTTATTGAATGCAGATTCTTTTGACAGACTCAGATTAGGTGAGGGGGCTTAAACAGTCTACGATGTACATCAGTAAGATATATCTTAACTTGTTTGCCTTCTCCTTTCACATCAAAAATCATAGTTACACTGGGAACAGCAATGTCTAGCTTCTGTTCTATTTCCAGCTCACTGACTAAAGCAAAGATAAAATTTTCCACTAGGATAATTAATTTGTTAACCAAAACTGTTTAGATATTTAATTCATACCTAGCAATGGATTGGACTCAACATGCCAATTACTTACAGATACCTTGGGGTGCTTCAAATACCTGTATGCCTGTAAACATGACAAAGTGGCATGCTGTGACAGCCACTTTCAGAGAGCTGTTTCCTATAGTGTGATTAGAAATACCCACCATTGTTCTCGTATGTTTCACATGGGTCAGGGTCAAGGCATACTTATAGAAGTTGTTGTTTACTGCCAGTTTGTTGGTTGTAGATGTGAAAAAAGTAAGAACAGACACTGACAGGATAGGAAAACTAACCTGAATTAGTTTTGACTCTAAAAGAAGCGTTTGAGCTTTTACAAACTTGCAGTCCACGACCTTTATGGGTTTTCAAGCGTTAATCATGTTGGAAATGAACCAACTTGGGTAATTAAAATGGCATGACTAAGACCACTGCCTCACTGGAAAGTTGCTTATCTATCTGCAAAATGCCACTAAAATATTCCCTTTTGAAATCAAAGGTACATTTTAAAATAAACATAAAAAAGGAGAGGTGTCTTGGTTTTTGGTTTTGCTTGATATTGTCTTTTAATTGCCCTAAGCATATGTTCAGCCATATGTGTGAGTACATATGTATACTCACATAGATGCACACATAAAATAAAAATAGTTTATTAACATTGCAGGTAAGTCTGCAAAATGCTTTTTCAGTCTTAATTAGCTATCTTCCAGAGTAGATATATGCCTGGTAAAAAAGCAAGCAAACAAGCAAATCTTTATATATTGAAAAACTGGGTGGTAGGAATACACAAATAGCTTAATTTTCTTTATTCTACTATAAAAACATAGGAGTTTACTGGTATTCTAAGGTGAAGAACACATATTTAGACAAAGTACTAGTTAAGTGCAGTGCTTGCTTGTACTAGTAGATATAACAGCTAATTAAAATTGGCAACATTTCGAAGTAAATAGGGCTGTTATTGGCTGCTGGAAGCTGACAGCTGGAGTTGCAATTCTCTTTAGTCCAGACATCAGAAAAAGCTTTAGCTGGATAATACTAACCTAGTCTGAAGCTCCATTTGAATAAAAACAAAAAAAAGGTCAGTTAGCAGCTGAAATATCTAGCATGAAAATACATTTGATGTGAGAGGAGAGAGAATAGATGATGTATATTACCACATTCTCAGTATTTTTATTACATTTCAAACTCATTCACCTGTACTATCACCCAGTACAATATATTTGTAGTTTAGGGTACAGGCAACCTTTAGTGGTTGCCTATGACTTGTTATTTCTCTACAAGATAGTGAATTACATTTATATAAAATAAAACAAATATATGCAAATGTTACAATGTTTAAAGTAAATGTGACAGGGATATTCCATTGCTCAGGTAGTCTGCTGTCCTGTATTATTGCCGTGCACTCAGTGGAGCTTATGTACTGGATAATTTGCTTCTCCCCTCTCAAATGAGTAATTATATTGTCCCATAATCCTGAATTGATCCAGTCTTCTCAGGGAACTAAACTGAGATAATACCTCTCCTAGGCTTCTTCAGTATTCAATGAGACGAGAGAAGCTCACGTAGAGAAAGAAATCTAAATGATGTCTTGGATGTTCTTATTTTTCCCTTTGACCATATAGGGAGCTGTCAGCTGAGTTCATGTAGTGCCCAAAACAGAGTGGAGAAGTTTCTGCAGAAGCAGGAGAAGTTGCCTCATATCCATAAAAGAACAGATAAAATATTTTAAGTCAGTCTAAAAATGCACAGGCTTGCATCACATTTTGTCACAGCAGCAGCATCACCATTGATACTGCTGCTACACGACTCCTTCTGCCGGAATAAAGGCAAGTGAAAGAGGAAAATGAGAAGGAAAATTCAGGTCACCTAGCAGGAAGAAGAGAAATAGCAATGTTCCTGTTAGCTGTACTATGACATTTTTTCCTCCTGATTTGACTGTGAAGTAATGCTGACTGTGCCAGGAGAGGCTGGGGTAGGGCTGGAGCTGCAGCAGCACTCACAGTCCAGACCCAGTGCTGGATCCATAACCTCCAGCAGGCACCTGCCATGCAGCAACCCAGAAACAACCACTCACTGCAGGACAGGTCAGAAGGAACTGCTGGCATAACAAATTCAGCTTTACCTGTCGTCATTAATATACAGTGGGTTCTGTTCTTCCTCAAGTAAAATGGACAAGTTGAAATACATCTTAGGAAAGCTTCTAGATTGATTTTTTTCTCCAATAGATCATTCCACTCTGAACTGTATCCGACAATGCTACAAATCACCATGGGTACAGTGCACTGCTACATATGGTTATGTTGGAAAAAAAACCTTTATATGTAGATATTGGTCTCTGGTAAGTTCAGTTATTTCTGTCCTGAAGAAATGGTTGTGTCTAGATGACAAAAAAGAAATTCACTTTCACGGCTACAGAGACAAGTTAATTTAAAACAGATAATTCTGCCTCACAGAGAAGTGATGAGAAAAATTCCAGGTATCATGTGCTCTTCACAGTCATAGATTACTAGTTTGCATTTTACTATTTTCCTTGGGCCTGATGCTGACCTCAGTGATATCTGTAGTTTACTATTTGATTCTTAAAATTTATTGTGAAAGAATTCTACTTTATAAAGTATAAAAACTTTTAAAAAGAAAGGATGTGATTATGTGTCTGTGTTTCAAAGTACATGATATTTGCTATTTTTAAGAAGTAAATTTAAAGATCTGGTTACCCCTATCATTGGTCCATTTCCTTTGGAGCATATACATGCGATATGAATCTAGTGTCTTAAGCTTCTTAGACAAATAGAAAACCACCTCTCTCAGCTGCTCTAGAGAGAAACTAAACATTTAACTTCTTATTTTAAAGACTCACATTAGTTCTATGCTTAAAGCTAGGCAGTCTGAAAAGCAATCCTTGACAGAGTCAGATTGTTCACACTTTTTGTCCCTTTCAAATAGCCCATTTTTCCTAAACTCAAGGACCAGTTTAAGAGCAAAATTTTTGCTGCATATATGTATGCAACTTCCTTGGTTTCAAACTTGATTGCAGTTTTTGTGTTGGAAGATCTTATCCTGGCTAAATACATAAGGCAAATATCTTCACCATCTGAACCATGAAGTTCATAAATTGCCACCAAAATTACTCATGTTCATTCATTTGCATACCATGATTACAATGAGGGTAAGAGTATTCTGCTGACAGATTTTTGTGGTTTTCGGTATGTTTAGACATCTAATGGCACTTCAGGAGCTCTTCTAGCTGTTGTAGCTTGGAGTATTCTGTGCATCATGAAAGTCTTACATGTTTTCCACAACAGCTGAAAAACCCTCCCACCCCCCAGCAGTTATCAAATAAAACAAAATTGATAAGTTAGCTGGACATGCATAGAAAACACAAAAAGGAATATTGATCACTAAATCTGGTAACTC